TTAAGATCTTTCCTTGATCCTTGATCTGTCCGATCGTTACTTGTAATTTTTAAGTTTATTCAATGTCACGATGTTTTACATCCATTGTATTCAATTATTTTTAGTGAAATTACTCCACTAATTTGTTATAATTATTATAACAAAGATCGAAACACTAAGAAAAATTTATTCGTTCCGAACCAGGCGATCCGCAAGCATGAAGCAAGCAACTTTTAAAAGTCTTTGATTGCAGTATTCCTTACATTTTAAAATAAAATAATTGGTACGTAACACTTTCCCTCCATTTCCCATAACCGTCAAACGCTCTGTTACATTTATACCTGCCATATTCAACAGGACAGAAATAAGAAAATAAGTTAATATCACGTTAATATTAACGTATTTTTTACCCTAGTGTTAGATCAACCCTCTAAGATTAACACACGACCTACAAATACGGACTACGATAGAAATGGTGAATTCTTACAGTTATTAGAGTACTCAGTTCCTTAGGACGGAATCTCAACGGGAGAAAATATTTAGTAGCAGTAGAGCTTTTTGTGGAAGAGTTCGTCCAAAAATATTGACTTAGTCGTGGGTATGAATGAATTCGCTAACCTTTTTTTACAGGCGTCGGCTCTATAACCTTCTTAGGTTTCTTATTCTTCTTTATATTACAAGTTAGTTTTTCGATGGCCTTCAAAATTTTCTTGCTGACCTTCGTAATTGTTCTTCTCTTCGGATCGCTATATTTTTTCGTTCGAGGTTCGCCGCCAACTGTCTTTTCGCGACCAGAGTCCACACTATCGTCCGATTCTGTTGCCGACGATTCCGAAACCGGGTGGAAAATATATGGACTGCGATTGAAGCGAGGAGAATTCATCGTTTAAAAACAAATTAAAGTAACTTCAACATGAAACAAAAGTTCAACGGCAAACCTTCGAACAGTGTTCAATGGTCCTACTCTTAAATGACTGGTAAATTGCTAATATTTTTAACACGACTATTCACAATGGAGTCTAGAAGAGCGTTAGACGACGTCGGCGATAGAACTGGATGAGATCCGTAATGTTATCCTTAAGGAGCTGCAGTCAGCCGTGACGGCGCGCCCTGCCAAGCCCAGGGACCTTGGTTCGACTGACTCTTATATTTGTGTCACTAATTATCATATGAGGTCATAATTTCCTACATTCATAGTATATTAAAATGCAAACTACTTTGTATTGTGATATGCTCAATCAATATACTAGCTACTTAACATAATTGAGGAATATAATAATAAATTTCCCCTATACAACATTATTGTCCAGAACACTAACGCCAACAATATAGTTACCACAACAGTCAAAAGGCGCAAAAACAACAAGAAATAAACACGGCTCAGTCGGGAAAGTAATTAAGCCACGAGATAATTTTCTGCCCGGACGCGGATAAGATAGATTTCCTCAAGTGCTGCTTAAAAAAAACTATTAAGACCGCCAGGGAAATAAGCACTTCTAATCTCCAGAGACAGCGGCGATTTCGAAGAACCGACGACAGACGATCGAAATCCTAAGACTGAATCAAACTCATCCGCTCATTTTCTATTTACATGCAATTTTTATATTATATTTTATTTGCGTGATTAATGCGATTGATATTGAACGACAAACAATTTCACTACTTCATATTATAGTACTTATGAATTTTCAACCGCGAATAGGGATTTTCTTCTCTGAGTGGAGAGTCTTAACGGGATCGCACGAGTCGGCACCGGTGGGTGAGGACCGACGCCTGAAAGCGATCTTGTCGTATCTCGTAAAATAAGACTTTACACCAGGGCCAAAAAACTATTTAAAAAAATTATTTCTCTTTAATTTGAATTAGTAGAAAGTCAATTTCTTGGGACGATGTATATAATCATACTTTAAAAGTGACTTTCTACTAATTCAAATTAAAGGGAAATAATTTTTTGAAATAGTTTTTCGGCCCTGGTTTAAAGTCCTATTATTCGAGATACAACGCTAGATCGCTTTCCGGCGTTGATACACTGGTTTTCAATGGGTAGGTCTACCAGGGGTGACCTATCACAAACTAGATTTTTTTCCGAAATAACGTTTGTTCGAATTTTCATTACACCAAATTATAACGAAAGCGCTGTTCTTTCAAGATATGTTGAATGTTTATCCCAAGGACACGATTTATTGATTTAGAGGCTTATAGGTGACTCGAAATTAGTAGAGGTGAAGCTGCAGAGCCTTGCACACCGCCGTAAAGTTGCCTGCTTATCGGTATTCTACAGAAGATATCACGCAGAGAGTGCGATGGAATTGCATAATTTGATACTGCCTTCCCCTTTTTATTATCGGCGGACTAGACGTGGGCTGGGATTCTACCTCTATGTTGTGGATATTCCCAGGGTTCGCACGAAGCGTTTCGCTTCCACATTTATCTGGCGAGCGGCTAGAGAGTGGAATTCCCTACAGACTTGTTCCCCGAACGCGATAATTTGGACCTTTTCAAGGTGAGAGTGAATAGGCATAACACATAACATAACCCCGCCATGTCATCGCCCGCGGCGGGGTATACGTAACGCATTTTCGTGTATACACAATTTTTTTATGCAAAAAAAATCTCCATAGGCATTTTTTTTAAATTTAAAAATTGAAGCAAACTTCTTATGTTAGTTTGTCATAGAAATAAAGTCGCTAAAGTCTTTGAAAATCCTTATGTTGATTTGGGAAGACATGAGATGACAAGCGTACCTACCTACTCGTAATTCTGCCTCTCACGGAATGATTACATGCGCTAAAATGAAAGAGTAACTTTCAACTCAAAACTTAACAACCTTAACGTATATCCCATTTTGCCAGTTTAAAATTTTACGGTAGATATATGACAGACACACTTTCTGTGGAGAGCTTGAGGCGTTAGGGATTATTACAACGAAAAAACAATCCTTTTGATACCACTATGTATATTTTGATGCTAAAACCACACGTTACGCTAGTCGTACCAGAAGATAATATTGCCATGATATAAAATTACTTATTTTAATGTTGCTGCTGCCAACACCCTACGTGTAACACTAACGAATACTTTAATTTTGATTTCAAACGCTTATCTATTTCTAAAAAACAACAAACAAGAATTTATTACAGTAATTACTATCCTTCATTAAGTAATTAAAACATGGAATTAGTACAGATCGATAGTAAAACACTGTCGCTTTATTCGCCGTTACCTAATTAACTTAGTGGTTACTTAAGTAATAGTACAGTCAAGAGCACATCAATTGAACCATTCTTATCGTAAGCGGCATGGAGTTACTTGGATTTAAGTCCTAGGTGTCAAACTTGATGTGCTCTTGACCGTATCTAAGTAAGTCGCTTTATCTTTTTAGGTACCTACTAACATTATACCTATCTTTTAAACGTATGGGAAGACAATTCAAGAAGCCAAGAGTTCATTTAGTGGGCGTTATTACATTTGCCAATAAATGCTTGAGATCTCAAACGCCTTTATTTTCAACATACCTAATATTCTGTTCCGCGTATAGAAAAGTGACCCAAATTGCACCTTATACGTTACGTCGAGATGAGCAATTTTCCAGTTTTCGTACAGTACACGTGGATTTTCCTCGTCAAACTTTCAAATGAAACGGAGCGGTGGCGCCAAACGTTAAAAGACCGTCGAGTATTTCAACCTGGGGAGTTGCTAAGAGACGCCTAGTAAAGTTAAACAGCAAACCCGTTATTTGCACTGCTCCAATTTATGTTGCTCATATTAACATTTCAGACGCTTTTATTTTTTGTTAGCTCTTACTTGCACTTGTGCGCTATTATATACGAATATATCGTCTGTTTAAAGGTAAAACCACATAAGTGACATTTTTCACAAAGTCTTTAATTTGTATAGCTATGGTAATGGTATTTCTGCACGTGAAACTCAATAACAACCAAGCTATAAACATAATAAGAGTTTTATCTGCAGAAAGATGGCGAATTTCTTACAACTGGTACATAATTTGTAGATTTGTATGGAAAATGTCACTTATGTGGTTCTGCCTTTAAGAAGACGATATGAGTTATCAATATTGAAGTAAAAGATGCCATTTCCATTAAAAGAACCCATAACAAGTTTTATGACTAAATAGGGACATTAATGGAATAATCGAAAACCTCTGTGAGATGTTCTATTAAAGTCATATGTCAATGCATCTCGCTAGTTTTGCTTTTATGTTCATCCTATAAAGCACTTGCACATACAGCTATTGAGCTGTATATATAACGTGTAATAAAGTTTCAACTGAAATTTATCAGTGTAAGCGATGTAAGAAAATGCACTCTATGAACTCATTTACATTGTCTCACTGATGAATTCTGCAGAATATATGGGAAATCGAAATGAAATTCAGCATGTGTAATGGTAAAAAGTGTTGATATATGAGATTTCACCCTGCATAGATTCAAGACCAGATGGGGTTGAATATACAATCATTGGCATAAATCCTTGTCGCAACGCAAGCTCCCCGATGACTACGCTTGAAACATGTACAACAACTTATTTAGCTGAATAAGTCTACCTATAGGAGAATAAATTGTATACATTGTTTATGACTGCTTTTTGTATAATTGTATAAACCTAGATGGTTTCAAAACGTTGTCTTTGTTAGGGTAGAAATGACATATAGTTCAAATAGAAGGATCGAACTAATTATCGCCGGGAATCATAGAGGATTTAATGTTACTAACCTAAAAGTAGGAACGTAACGGAAAGTTATAGTTATAAATACCACCACCGCTTGTAGAAAACTGAAAAATGATGATTTCTGGAAAGATACTGCAATTCTGTCATAGATTCTACTACGATGTTAACCCCGCTTGCCAAACGTAGCTAATAACATCTTTAATATTTTACGAAGGACTAAAGAGGACTTTGTCTTAGTGTCTGTAGTGGAAAATATTAATGTGGTAGTGTTCTAATACCACACATACGTCCCATATAAGTTTCAATAGTTTATTCAGAAGCTAAGAACTTACCTGCAGGAGAATTGCCGAATTCCCTCGGTCGATATGGCTTGTATTGTTGATATATCGAAGTATCGCAGTTTTTATAACATTCTTCTTTTCTATCTAATGTTAAATTGAAGTTATTATTGTTTTGTTGCGTTGGCGATGGTGCTACAAGTTCTTTATTAGAAGTGGATTGATAATCTTTAAACTCATTGTAACGACTGTCATCGGGTTTGTAACTAAGGTCAGTATTTTTCTGTGAACTAACGTTGATAGTTTTTTGATAATCAGTTGGCGTTATCCGCTCTCTATGGGAGCTAGAATGGTAGTTTTTAAACTCTTCATGACGAGTTTCCTGAGGCGTGTAATTAAAATCCTTCTTTTTCGGTGAAATATTAATATGTTCTTGATAATCAGTCGTATCATCTGAACCGTTAAGTATTATTTTCTTTATCGTTTTTATTTCTTCAACTTCGCTGATCTTATGCTCCATTACTGAATGTTTAGTAATCTCTTCGCGTCTATGAAAATTATGATCGCTCTGTGACACAGGCAAAGACGTTTCGTTGTCATGTTTCCCATTCAGAGTTTCCTGTCCAAGAATTTTCTCAAAAGGATCATTGTTCCTTTTCGTTTCAAACGGGTTTTTACTATTTACTTTGTTTGGAATACTTTGATTATCTCTTTGACCATACTGATCGTTACTAAATGGATCTGTAGTGTTAGTGGCAGTAGATTTTTCCGATTCATACCCATTAATGTTTTCACTGTTTTGATAGTATTGCAAGCTGTTTTGACCTTCGTTAGTTTTAGTGAAATATGATGGTGATTTTAGATCTGTAGTGATGTCATTAAAAGGCGACTCTTTTTTGTTTCTATCTAAGGTGGATGCAGATTTACCGCTTGGTATGGGTAATTTGGAAGCACTTGAATAGTTCGAAGGAAGAATTGTATAAAAAGGGTTGGTTGGATGAAATCTAGGTGTTTCTTCCGTAAACGCAACAGATTTGACAAGTGGCGTTGAGTTAAGAGCTGAAGGTAGGGAGTTCAGCGAGGATCTCATGCTTGAAGATAAGGGTCGACTTTGAGGTGAATGTGAAGGTCGTATGGTTGCGTATACTGGAGCCTGAGGTGTAGCTTTTTGCACTTCGGCTACTAGTTGAGAAGGCCCTGCAATAAATGGAACAATATTATCACATAGAAGCAAACTAAAATACAAATAAATCGTTATTATTTTCTGTGAATGTGTGAATAGGAAAACATCTGCGAGTCAAGAGCCCATCAATAAGTATATGTATAAATCATTGCAGTCTGAACTCTAAGGCGATAAGCTTACAGACAAGTTTAAAACTTGCAGTCTAGGCGGCTTTTAACAATTCCAACGAGCAGGCAAGAGCGATAAAGTCATCCTCGCCGCATATGCAGACGTGCGATAAAGCGATGCACGTCGGAACTACACAAGGAAATATTCCAGACACTATATTCTGTTTTCCTAGATTTACAAGGAAGAAATATTTTGTTTTCCCGGAATATCGCTAGGCTACTTGCTGAGTCACGAGTAGTGTCTTTGCCTTCTTAAACAGAACAGCTGTTCCTTTTTTATTGTCTGTGTTTTAAAAAAGGTACGCTATCAAAAATACAGACTCAAAAATGCTTAAAAAAGCTCGCGAGCAACTCTTCCTCCTTGTTACGACATAATCAAAATCAAGCACGTGATACGTTAAAAAGATATCAATTATAAGTTTAAGAAAATGTGTCAAAGTTGTGGAGCATACGTGTAAGAAAATAAAAACTTACTTTTCAACTCGGAGCCTTTGCCAATGGATCTTCTTCGCGGTGACATCTCCCTGTCCCTGGCGAGAAAACTTAGATTAAGACATGGAAATAAAGCACCCACTCTTTGAAATCGATTAGAAAGTATTTTTATAGAGCATGAAAAGTACTATGCATATACAACAGAATAACTGTACCTGTGTAAGACTGGATAGGTTATCTAGCCTTATATTTTGTTATTTCAAAAACTTAGAGCGTAATTGATACAGAGTATTAAGCTCATTAAATCACAATAAACTGTAGTAAAACGGAGAAAAAAATTGTCGATATATCGCGCATAGCTTTCGAATAAAAATAAATTAAATGTCAATACTTCATCATTATCTTAAGCTGCATTTAATCAAAATTTATGCAAGGATTTCATATAATGGACAAAACGTAATGTAGTCGGTTTTCTAAACTACCACTAATAGATTGAATAGTCAGATTTAACATCGTCATCAAAAATTTGTCTATGATTTATTTGTATTTCATTATTTTTTGCTTAGATTATAATAATCTACATTTAACCAAATTTTATAAAGAAATAAATTTTCATAATGAAATAAAAGAACAATTTAATTCTGTTCACAAAACTTAATGTAATGTAGGGTAAGGTTACGTTAAAGGTATTTATTACTATTACATTATTTTTCATTGCTTACACATATTACTATTTAATCATTGGTACTTACTTGCTTTTCATTAGTAAGTTTACATTAAAGTTTTATATTTTTCATTATGTCTATAAATAAAATCATTTGCTTACAATAAACTCAAAATTTACCATCTGTTAACGGTATCTAGAACTTCTATAAAGCAATATGAAGTAGAATCTGGATTCCTATACAACAGATTTAATATTTTACTGCTGCAATTACAGTAAATTTCTTACAAGAAGATCCAAAATTAGCCTTATTTTCGTAATTTAACGTGGGAAAGAACCAGCAGGTATGTGGTACTGTAAGTAAAAACCTCGCATGGCTAGGTCTATGTGTAATTTGTCATTTTCACCTGCGTGCATGTCGCCGAATGATCAATGTTAACGGATACAATGATGTATCTAGCTGGAACTACGGGGCTAGGGAAATAAAAGACTTAGAGTTATTTCTCTCTACAAGTCTGAAGTGTACAATAATTTGGTTCAAAGTGTAATTCCCCTCGTGTCCTTGACTGTACAAATATTAATAAAAATGGAAGTTTATTAATTTGTTATAACTATTAATACAACAAATTATCGAATCACAAACACATAACAATCGAACACAATCGGCACAGTTTGCTAGAAGACCTCTGTTGGAATCCGGCCGGATCAAAGGAGTTTTTTCTGAGCATTCGATCTTTGTATTAATTACAACAAACTAGTGGAGTGTATTCACAGAAAAACAAATGAATATCATGGTGGTGAAACAGCCTGGCAGTCAATAAAACACTTTAGTAAATTGATTTGCTACTCCGCGAACCCAACGAAGGTTGAATAGCAGAAATGAAGGCATTCGCACGAAGCATTTCGCTTCCACAGTCATTTAAATGGCGAACGGCTATGGAGAGAATTCCCTACATACAGACTTTGTTCCTCGACTTGTATGACTTACGCATTTCAAGGCGAGAATGAATAGGCATTATTTAGGTGTGCATACTCCATCGTCGCTTTCTATCCGGTGAGATGGAGGACAAATATTTCTCCCGGCCCAGGAATCGACCCGGGACCTCTGCGTGGCAGTCCAGCATGATAACCGTTCGGCTACAGAGGCAGTAATTTTTTTAATAAAAAAAAGCGAATCAACAACTCCTGCCCAAAACATTGTTGGTGGTGATGTTTGCGACTGTAGTTGAGCGTGTGTTACTTATTAAATTAATTTTATGCGAAGGAAGGACGGGAAAATTAACTGAATGAAAAACCATTCAACAGAAGAGCAATTATTTTGCACGATTTACCCTCCATTGGGTTCACGAAGTAGCAAATTAATTTGCTTCCATTTTTATTAACATTGACTTACGCAAAGTGACGCCTGTGTCTACTAGTTATTTAGGTAGGTACTCAATTATAGAGTCCGAAAAACAATTTTATCTGTTCACAATCTTGTAATGTTTTAATGAGACACACAACTCACAACCTACAAGACTTTGAAATACATAGTGAAACTCCCAAAAACAAATGAAGAAGAATTGCGTTCAGATGTAGGATATATCCGCAAAGTGCGGTGATTACGTTAGATAATTCCGAATTTAATTCGGAGACGACTGTGTGCCTCCGCACGCAAACCATTTTGTAAATGTGTTTGAGTGTCGCGATGTCATTCGGAAGACAAAATACTTAATATATAATAGTATAGTAACCTTGTCAGACGCCGCAGTTTTATACCTATGCTTATATAAAATTTTGGAAATTTACTTGTTTTTGCCGCAGTAATTATAAATTTACAAGAATAGATTTGTATTGTAGTATCATAAATATATAAAAAATAAAATTGTGCTCATCATTCGAAGTTACACGTATACCTATTGCAGAACTAGTTGCGTGGTATGACTTTTGATTTTGTCGAGACTTTAATTATTGCATGTCGTATTTTTTTCTTTTTTTGTTTTTGTACCAGACAATCACACCAATTACCTGGTCTCAAACGAGGGAATTACTAAAGGGAGGGAATTATTAAAGCAACGGAATTCATTCTGGGCTACCCAGAACACCACGTTGTTATTAGTTTTATATATCCATAAATATATAATGTACTAACTTATAATAATAATAATATGTTTAAAGTTTTCTAATTATTTTAAATCCATTCTGTTCTATTAAGATTCTATGTAAATCGGATGTCAGGGACCCCACGATACAGGCTTGCCTAGTATGGGGGACCGTGCTAATCGTAAAATTGTTGCTATAAATCTGTCCTATAAATTTTAATTATTTAAATTTATTCATTTATCTGATAGTACTTTTTACACACATGATAAGTAGTTTCCAATAGCAGTAGAGTTCTTTGTGAAAAAGATCGTCTGGGGAAGTACTGCCACCTTACCTATTTCTGCCGCCAAGCGCTCATGTGAATATTACTGCGTTCCGGTTTTGAAGGGTTTTGCTGGTGAAATTACAGGCACATGAGACTTGTTAACTGGTGTCTGAAGGTGATGGGCGCAAGGGTATTATCCTTCAGATCTTTGCGATTTAAAGCTCTGAGTGACATTGCAACTGCTATGGACAGGCGTGTCGCTTACCACACTATATTCACAAAAAAGCACTTTTGTGAATTCCAATATACGTCACAAACTATAGATCTATCTATTTTGAGATGGGACCTATTAATATTCTAGGTTCTGGACGAAATGCAATTTAGATCCTGATACTGTCTCGGGAGACGTTAGATTGATCGAGAACACAAGCATGAGTCCAATAATACAAACATTGCGTATTCTATTATTTTTTGAAGCTACGTTACTCATACTAGATGTGGACAAATGGGAATTATCGCTTCGTATTTTTCTAATTTATCTTCGATCGTAATTATGAAATTAACAACTCTTTAATAAGTACAGTCGATGCCCTAAGATACCAAATCCCCTAACCGACTATTTGGTTCTGAGTGGATTAGTGTGAAGGAAGTCTTAAACAAACCTAATATTTAACCTGTGAGCCGTAAAATTCATTTTGGTACGACTTCCTTATTCTGCCGTCAAATAACTAAAACGCGGTTACAGATGGTCAAATATCCGTTTTAAATATAAAAAGATAGAGCACAAAATTCTCTTTTAAAAACAATTAAAATTACTTCACGTGTTAGATTTATCGGAATTTACCCTAAGGGCGCGTTCCCACTACGTCGTCACGTTTTATTATCGTTGGGCGACTATCGTGTCTAGCCTGTTCCCACATCACGACTATCTGTCGTGGACGATTTTTTATCGTTGAACGACTATCGTGACTAGCTGTTTCCACTAGATCGTGACGACAATTTATAACGATAGCCTCCTTGCCCATCTCTGGCTACGACCCGACGCTACTGCACAGCGAGCATAGGGCGCGGGGTACGAAAGGGGAGGGCAGGGAGCAGAATACGTGCTGAAAGTGATAAATAAAACGTGACGACAATAGGAGCTGCGACAATCTGTGTCGTCACGTTTTTATCGTGACGTTTTTTTATCGTCCGACGACTGTCGTTCTAGCTGTTCCCACTGTGACGACAGTTTGTCGTTGTAACGATAAAAAAAATCGTGTACGACAGTTAATCGTGTCGTGCTATATGTGAACAACTTCATTTAAATATAGAAGCCACGACACTGTAAACTGCACGACAATCTGTCGTCACGACATAGTGGGAACGCGCCCTAACGATGCATAGCTGAAGCATCATTAAACAACCAATATTCCAGAACCGGGTTATGGTTTTTATATCTTAAAAAAACATTTTGTAACTTAGCCGCGTTTTAGTTAGCGGATTGCTTCATTGGTGAATGACATTTTAACAAACTTTTATATTAAACTTGATCTTCAATTACATTAGATATATACAAACCTCAAACAAAAAGCTGGAATTCCTGTACACCTTTCTGTTGAACGCGTAAGAAAGCTCTCAGAATTAAAAGGTCGGGTAGCGTGTCGGGTATCTAAGAGCAGCGAATGTACATATAACTTAAATATCTTACAATAAACAGGGAGAGCACGTCTAGTTTGACACATAAAATACAAATTCGACTTTATGCCACTTACGATAAGAAGAAGAAGAAGTCAAATTTCATGTGGTTTTAATTGTAACTTGCGTAATTTTGTAACCTGCGAAAGTGATTTCTGCCTAACGACAACATCAGTTTTAGCGACTCGTTATGTAAAATTCAAGTATTTGAATGGATGAATGAATATTTCAAAGCATAGCAGACGAGGAACTCAACAATGTGTGTTGGCATGAGTATCAAATCATTCCTTCGAGTCCATGTGGAAAAGCAGTTAATCTTAATGATCATCGATCTTCGGCAATATTTATGCCCCAAGTAGAAGAAGAAAAATTCCGAGAACGAATTTGCTTTAATTATGATTAAAACAAGATACCTCAATTCAAGATATCTTGAACTAAAAAAACCTGCTGTAGCCTATTAAGAGAATAGATTTAAAAACGCACTCCGTATTTACTAAGTTTGATCCTATTATGAATAATAACGAACCAAACTGAAAGGCGTTTAGTAAACACAATTTAGAAACGAATATCGAACTAATTCAAACTACTTATGATATTGGTTCGGTAGTTACCAGTTAAAACCAAGTTTCATAATTACATCAGCTCAAGAACTCTTTAATTTCGAGCAAAAGGGCCCAACTTTATATTAAAGTAATACAACAATTGCCATGCCATTATGTAAATGAAGTAATAAATACCTGTCGTTTTAAAAGAGCTAACGCGTAAAAAAATTCGTTGGATACAGATGTGATTTTACCAAGTTCACATAATTACTTACATTTCACTCAATTCATATTTGTACAGATTTTTTCAATAGGATTTGAGGATTTAACATAAAGTACTTATAGTTATAGGCGAGATAGAAGTACAGCAATACCATTTGCATCAAACGACTAATCTGAGAGCGGACCAGTGTTTAATCCGAATGCTGAAGATTGATAGGCTTTCCCCCACGGATTTCATGTTGCCCCGCCGTACATTGAAACAACTGATTCACGTGGTCCATGTAATAAAGACTTCGAGTACAAGCTTTGTATTGGCTTGAGGTACCTATTATTGGTCGACGTTGGTCAATAAAAGGCGATTTAGATGAGGTATTGTAAGCTTACAGATACTAATTTCAATGTTGGGCTGTAAGAAAAAGGTCCGACCATATTTTACAACTGGTGAGTATATTAAAGATAACAACCAAATTTAAAAAAAATCCCAATAAACTGTTACTGTTGAGTCCACCGAAGAAAAAACAATGGAAGTGCCTTACGCCTCGATTATTATCAGAACCGCTGCCGCTGTGCCACCAAAACTCACACATTTATAATTGAATATACGAAATATGAAATCTTGTTAATGATTGGTCGTAGTTTCTAATTCATAAAGATGTAAAAAATTCTAATTTAAACATTACTTTGTCGACATATCGTAGAAAGTTCAATACTTAATATTGCAAGTTGCGACGTTTTTATTTTATATATACAAAATTGAAATTTCAGTCAATGTGCTGCTATCTAACGGTTAATAGCTGAACAATGACGAATTAAAGATGTTTATTTAGTTCTTTAAAAAAAGAAGCGACCATATTGCAGCGGTACATGATTAACTTTCGTTCATTGTAACAAAAAAATTTAAATTAAAATTATTGCGATAAACAGAAAATTTAAAATTTATTAAAATTAAATAAAATATAAAACGATAATATGAAATACCACCACGGATAATACTACAAGTGCGACTATCATATTTCCACTATAAAGTATCAAAATAGCGCAATTTTTCTACGATTTTCGAGGTTTTGCGCGAGATAATTGACACGATCATAACGTATAAAGCGAAAATGGCGGACTGGGTTCAAGTATGTGGAACTTCACGTACTGTTGGCACACGTACCACGCTAACTGCACTTCTACTGTATTTATTGTTCTGTGGTTCAGCCACAACACAAAAATCGATATGCACGTTTGTAAGAGGAAGAGTTTTTATTGACGATGTTGAAATAGACTATGCAAAATGCGCGTTCTTCTTATTAGCACCGTCGATAGCCGCCATTGATTATTTGTACCACCTATCACCTTAATTTAAGATTAGGTAACAAACTTACTCATTAAGCCCCAGCTTTAACACTGGTCCGGCGGAGCGCAGCATCGCGTGAGCATCTGAATTGGTCATGCCCTTCGTGGGCTGTCCGTTAATCGAAGAGATCACATCGCCCTCCCGGATGCCGCTCAGTGACGCCTTCCGACCGGGATTCACCTGGAACGACCATTGGTAATATTTAATCATGTTCGTTTATCTCCCAAGATAGGGTGCACAAAGGAGCTTCCCATTCCTTTCCTGTACGTATAGCGCACCGTACATGAGCAACAACCGGCAAGTATCTTAAGCCGATTTGTAAATCCTTTTACCACGATAGCGATCATTATAGTGTATACCATCGACACCATAAGAAGAGGATCTTCCAAGAATACATAGCGCTATAGTTTTGACCCATTGGTCAGAAAAATGGTAGAATATTCAAATTTCAGGGTAGACAAAGTCATCCAAGAAAATAGGTTTTACTGTTGACATTAAAGTTCGCTCTAGTAAACACAGAGGTCTGAATTCTGCATTATATTTTACTAGCTTTTTGGCTACTTCGGTCACGAGTCAAGTGTTTATGGTACAAAAAATTTGATTACTGTTCTAGATCAAACAGTAGATAATATATACGTTTTTATAATAATAATTACAGACACAATTCTATTTGACAGTCATAAATTTCCTTAAGCTTTACCAATCAACTGACGTTGGCCACGAGGGCCATAATTTTTAAATTATTTTTGTAAAACTGACAACGACGCTAGCCTAAAGCTTAGTAGCCGCCATTAAGGAAAAATAATAATCTACGGAATTATTGTACAAAAACTGTAGAACGACGAGAACGTTTTTAAAATTAATATCGAGGCTACTCGTCCGACGACGTATTTACTTTCGCATCTCAACGGACATGTATGAACTTTAGATTACAAACCGCATTCGGCTCGCGCCGCCTCGCCGCCGGTGAGCAGAACTTCAACATGTTTCCTTCCGGCGCTCGGCCACCCTCGCCTGTCCAACCCACACCCAACTCACACACGATCACATATATGTCACTTCACACGTACTAATAAACGTACCCTGTTGGGAAAGGTCACTGCCATCCAAAATGTACGATATATCACTATTCCCAATATAATCCCAATGCTTACCCTATAAACATCGGATCGCCGAAAGGTTTATTAAACGTAATTTGTAACTTAACGGCAAATTGCAAAACCCGTTAGCTGTACATTGAAAAAGACACCAGTCATTTCGTGGACATTATCTCTAAAATACTAACAACACAAACATTTGGGACACAAAAACAGGTTATTATGGGATTAGTGTAGTAGTAATTGCACAAAAACTTAATAACATAACAAGCTGTACAGAAATGATTGTTTAGAATTATATAATTGAGGTTAACTGCAGCATTGTAATGACAAGAGGGTGGAGCACTAATTTCACAGAGAGAGAGAGTGAACGTCCGCCGGAGTCAAGAAAGTCGGGTGCGATACTAAAGCTCAGAACGTTGAACACGCGAGGGTATAAGCGTCGTTATAATAGCATTATATGGGCATTATTCAAAAATGCATGCGCCATAGGACATGACACGCCTATTGTTATGTGGGCCCATCATTCGCGAGGAATATTAATCTTGTTGACGGGAGCGAGGAATCGTTCGCCCGCCGTCGCGCCATCGGCTCGCCGTCGTGCGGTCGTGCTTGTAGCCTACGTGTCAAGACCATCGATGTCTTCTTTGAGTGCGATGACCTTTAATATCACGAAGATATAAATCGGCAATGCCAAAATAACCACGTTTTCATAAGCAAATTTGCAAATTTTTAAAACTATTGCACCATTATAATTAAAATTTGTGACATACTACAACGACTACTTACACGACAAGAAACGTCGATGTATGTAGAGAAGCAAAGGGCTTTGTACAGAAAATTCAAATTGCGCAATCCATTGTTCCAAGTCCGTGTAAAGCTGGGAGTAAAGAGCTTAAACGTGTACGAAACGATCGGACTTGGTGAACTATTAATGGCAGTTCTGCCCGTGGAACGGGAAAAAATATTATACCCGTTATTCAAGTGAATATTGATATTTAGAAGTTGAATAAAGCAAGATTTTCCCTAAAACTTTATGCAATGTTAACGAAACTATGATGATACCGATAACAACTTTTTTATAACAAAAAGAATTTTCAAAACCGGTCCACAAGAGAAATCGGAAAACGTACATACAGCCGAACGTACAACCTCCTCCTTTTTTTTGAAGTCGGAATAAACAGAAAATTAACCTCGGTATTTATGAATCCAAACTAATGTTATAAATGCGACAGTAACTCTGTCTGTTGCATTTTCTCGCCTAAACCGCTGAACCAATTTTGATGAAGTTTGATATAGAAATAGATAGGATCTGACAGTCTGGAATACTTTAGGGATATTTATGAATGTGAGGTTTAGTAATGAGATCGAATAAAACACGTACTTAGATAAAACTTTAAAAATTTCGCTAATACGGCTGTGTTTTACATTTGTTTCACATTAGCTTTCATATATTTTTGATTTGCGCAAATCCTTCAGGATTCGGGCCGTCACGCGTATCTTTAACTTGGTAGTAATACAGCGTCGTATATGTATACGCAATGGGATAGCAATGTTGCTATCCCATTTATGAACTAGGACAGTGACGACTGATTGTGAATTTAGCTACCAAGCCCATAGAAAAACAGTAAAATATGCTATAATAATCGTTAATAAATAAACCTGCTGGAGTAAGCACTATAGAGATTCTGGCTCTTATAAGGGTGCTTGCCGTACACACAAGGCCAATATTTAAATATTTCTTTCTGGAAGTCTCTTTGATCTACATTAAACCATTTTGGTAATGTAGCACTCTAGAGTCACACGGTGTTTTTAATGCGCAGATGTGTTTTTTGTCTACCATTTAAAAATAAACGACAAAAAAGTAAATTAAAAAAAACGTAGGTCTTCGCTATTGACAAACATAGGAAATGAAACTATTTCTCGGATCTAATTGAGTATATTTCTTTTTTATTTTCAAACAAACCAACATTTCGGGCCCTTTACAGGTTCCATGGTCATGGCTACTGACGGTTAGTTTGTGACAATCGCGAAAACCTAAAATTTTCATGGACAGACCGTCAACCGTGACCTGTAAAGGGTCCGAAATATTGGTTTGTTTGAAAAAACCAGAACAAATAGATATACGCGATTCAGAACCGAAATATTTAATTTCCTATAACATTTTTTTTCCAAATTCGTTAGAGATAATGACTGTGTTCTCTCGGCGTGACGGTTTAATGTAAAAGTTGTTTGGATTCTTTTCTTTCATTAAAATAGAGGAGACGCCATATTATTAACTACATCAAAAAACGAAAGACAGTTGTCGTGTACCGTTCTCGCAGAACACTACAATTAAATAACGCAAGTTGGGCGCTCCGTCTTGTTAGTGCAATTAAAACGACCCGCTTAAGGGTCGCGTCGACAGAGACAGTTCGTTTCAAACTTAACTTTTAAGTTGAAACCGACTCAAATGGCATCGCTATTGAGACGATTTGAGTACAGAACGAGAGGTATTTCTACCTAACCGTTGACTTGGACATGATTCGAATGGTTGGAATTTCGCAACACGAATTCATTTGTTCGTCAATAATTACGGCCTTCTCGGAAATTGATAACAAAAACACAAATCATGTATTCATCTATTTATAGATATACTTCTCGTACTCGTACATCTAATAGAATAAGCCCTGATTGACGCATCTACGCACAGTTGAACTGCTGAAACCAGAAATATGAAATTTTGACTTTAGGTTTATGACGTAAGCACCGAATAAGAAGAGATTTTTCCACATTCAACCCCTAAGGTGGTGATAAGACCTAAAATCTGTGGTACAAAAAATCCTAAACCACTAAAATAAGAAATGTGAAAAATGTACTTAGACTCACTATAGGAGATGTGTAGAGACCTTTTTGAAAATAGTAAATTCAACTTTAAGCTATTTGATGATATAATTATTTACTTGTTTAAACTTTTTTGTACAATACACAAAGTACTAATGGCGGACTTAATAACGTTGTTTTTTAAAACAATTAAATAATTGTGTTTTACTACTACGGCAAAAGGAATGACGTAGGAATGAAAGATTATATCATCAAGTTTTGTATCATATGACCTTTGATACAAAACTATGATATAAAACGTTTTCTTTACACATTCCCAAAATAGGTACATATTTTTTCATATTTTGTATTTTATCACACATTTACAAAAATGTGCATAAAGACCACTCCTTATTTTCAAATTACATAAGCATCATTCTTCAAAATCATTTGTCAAATCTGAATTGATACAGATTTGGCCAAATAGACGAATACGTATTTTTCTAACATTTCTTCAAGATAAAATAAACACTTACATCATAACAGTTAAATTTTATTCTCGACGTATCATCCTAAACAATAACCATGATTATTACAGTGAAATTAAACATTTACAGATTTTGAAAAATGAGTGAAAGACGGTTTGTTTTTCTCAAGGTGAAATCTTAAGAAAAATTCATTTCATTACGACTTCTGGGAAATAGAAGCGACCTTCAGACATCATCTGTTTTAAAAACACATGCAGAGCGTGGTATCGTGACCTTGATGGGCATTAATATTGTAGTTCAGCACCTGTGATGCACCTATGGTATTATTAAGAAATCTCAATCCGCCTAAGCTATACAACGACACCAGTCTGCGGCTTCAGTTTCTCCATAGAAACGTCATCGAAGCTGCAATGGTCACTGGCTTTGCAAAGGTGTATTATAAGGTAAAAAAAGGTTCTTTTCCTAAAAGTATTTTTGTTTATCCTAAAAGACAAGACGAACACATCGTGCGCCTGGTGGTAAGCGCGCGAGGTGGCAAACACGCCTGTCCACAACAGTTGCAGTGCCGCTCAAAACTTTAAACAAACAAACACAGTGCTTCCACACTGCGCTCACCATTCTGAGATATAAGTTGAAAAGATTAGAGTTAAATAGCAGTAGAGAAAGAGTTCGTCCGGGGTAGTGTGGCCACCTTACCTATTTCTGCCGCCAAGTAGTAATGTCTGCGTTACTGTGTTCCAGTTTTGAAGGGCAAGGGTACTGGTGAAATTATAGGCACATGGGACTTGTCGGC